TCATACAGTCAGCCAGATGTTCAGACTTTATTTGGCATTTTTTGTCTGTCTAGTGCAGTGATGGCGAACCTTTTAGAGACCGAGTGCCCAAACTGCAACCCAAAACCCACTTATTTATCGCCAGGTGCCAGGTGGGCGTGGCCCACTGGGTGGGCATGGCTGTGGTGGTCATGGCAGAATGGGTGGGTGTGGCCAAGGTGGGCATGGTCACCTTGATGTTGCTCGTGGGGAGGGATGCCTGTGGGGACCAGGCAGGGTTGGGGGAGATCCAGAGGGTCTCGGGCAGGTGAGGTGGTAGGCAAGAGGCTTGTCCTGCAGGGTGAGGCGAGGTGAGGCAGGGGTGCCATTGTTGCAGGGCAATGTGAGGCAGGGGCCAGGGCGGCTGCTGCCTGACACCATTGGTTCCCGCACACAGAGGCCAGCGAGCGCATCGGGGCTGACAGTGTCCGTCACCAGCCACAGCCTGCCGACCCCTCGACCGGTGCACTCTGGGGCTCTGCAGCCCACCGCCAGCAGTTCAGAGAAGCTGCCTCTGAGCTGGACGGACGGTCGACAGCTGAGGAGGTGATGCAGTGGGTTGTGCCCTGGAAAAGGAGAGCATGCGAGGCCAGGAGGGATGGGACGGGAGGGAGGGAAACCAGCTGTGCTGGGATGCATCCGGCCACGTGGGACCTCGGCGAGTTAGTGGGCGGCTGGTTGAAGAGGGATGGTTGCGATCTCTGGGGCATGGTGCGCGTGCCCACAGAGAGGGCTCCGAGTGCCGACTCTGGCACGCGTGCCATAGGTTCGCCACCACTGGCCTAGTGAGTCCTTCCTGGGATGGGCAGGTGTGGCTGTTTTATGGGAAGGGTCTTCAAACTTGGCAACTTTAAGACTTGTGGACTTCAACTCCCAGAATTCCTCAGCCAGCCCTAGCTGGCTGAGGAATTCTGGGAGTTGAAGTCCACAAATCTTAAAGTTGCCAAGTTTGAAGACCCCTGTTTTATGGTGTTAGAAGTACCCATGCAGGATGGCAGCTGTTCCAAGTAAAGCTGCCTTTTGCAACTGACCGATGGTGAATTTGTCGATGCCAGTGTTGTTTAAGTGTTGCTCCAGATGTTTTGGGATTGCACCTATGACTATTGGTACTACCTTTGCTTTCTTTTGCCACAGTCGTTCTATTTCCATATTGTTATCATTGCTAATAATGTTGGTGCTGCAAATGTTACTGTTAGTTAGAGAAAGAAGTCTTCAGTGGATGACAGTGTTTGACTGATCTGATCTGGGTTTCAAGCTAAGCAGGCTTGGGGTTAATATTTGGGTGGGAGATCTACTAGGAAATGCCAGGAATGTAGGGTTAGTGAGCTGAGAGGAAGAGTGAGTTGAGAAACATCTCAGAAGAAGATGAAGGTAGACCTCATGTTGCCAAGAACATTGCACAGCATATGCAGGTAAGTGACCCAATGTTGATTCAGAAGGGGGATAAACATCAATCTTTGTTAGCCAAACAACTGTAGTGATTCTAAAATCTTGTTTTCTCTTTGATAAATGCATTCTTCCTATTTTCATCTGCAGGGCATTGCTGGAGCAGATGGGCTACCTGGAAGTAAAGGAGAACTGGTATGTAAGAAAAGCTGGCTGGGTGACTTTGGGCCAATCACCAGGAGACCATGAGTTCTGGTGCAGTCTTGGGCACAAAAGCTGGTTGCGTGAGTTTGGGCCAGTCACTAGGAGACAGGGAGTTCTAGTCCCGCCTAGGCATGAAAGTCTGGCTGTGGAATTCTGGGAGTTGAAGTCCACACATCTTAAAGTTGCCAAAATTAAGTAACACTGCACTAGAGCTTTGCCTCTTGATTGAGGCGGTCCTGGGATCTTTTTAATTTTATTTTTAACTAATTCCTGCACAAGTCTGCAACCCCTGGCACAGATGACCTCAGAACTGAAAATATGATACAGAACTGAATCAGCATGATGAAGTTTATTCTAGGGAAGACCCCTGTCACATTCACCCACAGTGATGGAAATGCATACCGGTAGTTGTATTCCCACACCGTACAAAGGTCGAAACTCATGGTCCTTCCAACTCTAGCATTCTTTAATTCTACCTCATCCCCAAGTAAGTTGTTCCGATGATAAATTTGGATGGCGTATTTGTGAGCTGCAGTGAAAAGCAATCCGGGTTCTCCAGTTTCATTTCAGTTTCCTGCACGGGATTGAAACAAATAACTTTATTCCAATTTCTTTTTTCTTTTCTAAGGGCCATGTCGGACCTCCTGGGCAGAAAGGAGAAGTAAGTAGCCTATACTTTACAGAGAAAAAAGAAAACCCATCACCTCCGGTGTTTTTCATTATATGAATTTGCCTGGAAGTTTTTTTTTAAAAAAAAATCTGAGAGATTGCCATCGGAGGAAGCTTTGAAAGGGAAAATGAAAGTCACCTATGAAAGGCTTCTTGACCGCTTGCCTGCCATTCCTGTATTTCATTTAAAAGTCCCCACCAGTAGTGAAAACAGAAGGCCAACAATATAGCAGGCAGTGCTTTAAGCAAAAGCTGTTTGCATGTTATGATAGACTGAGGAACAGAGGAGAGCAGTTCCAATGGAAAAGGTGCTGCCTAGAAGCCAGGAGACACTGATTTCCAGTCCTGCCTTAGGCATGAAAGCTGACTGGGTAACTTTGGGTGAGTTTTAACCCACTGTCCTCCGCTTAATAATAATAATAATAATAATAATAATAATAATAATAATAATAATAATAATAATAATAATAATGATGATGATGATGATGATGATGATGATGATGATGATGATGATGATGATGATGATAATAATAATAATAATAATAATAATAATAATAATAATAATAATAATAATAATAATAATAATAATAATAAAGTTGGAAGGGACCTTGGAGGTCATTTATTTATTTTATTTATTTATTTTATTATTTTGATTTATATCCCGCCCTTCTCCCGACGGGACTCAGGGCGGCTCACAACCTATTTAAAAACAAAAACATACCCACAATCCCCACCAAATAAAACCAATTAAAAGCCAAATATTTAACGTTGTGATTTCCTGTTTAAAATTTCCTTAAAATAAACCCGATTTAAAATCCTCTCTAGGCCAGGCCCGCTTGCTGGAAAAGCCATGTCTTGAGGGCGCGGCGGAAAG